ACCTGTAGTTTCCTTTAACATGGTGGAAAAATGTTCTCCTTAGCCCTAAACCCTAAACCCTAAACCTCCTCATACTCCCCCGACTCTTTGGCCCTCGGTGGGTTTGCAGACTCCAACAGTCATGCCTGATGCTCAAACTTCCATCCGCAACCTGACATCCTGGCTCCTTCTTAGTAGTAGAGCAGGCAATCTTCAACCTCTTTGGTGTACTTTATGTAACCCTAAACCCTATACCCTAGTAGAGTAGGCAATCTTTAACCTCTTTGGTGTACTTTATGTAACCCGGCTATAATCTCAAAGGTTCATCTTCGGCTCTTTCTTAGTGACTTTGTACGGTTTTGGGGTTTAGGGTTTGGGGCTATGAATCTTCGGAGAACCCAATACCCCTTAATCAAGGAATGTACCTTAAACTAGAGGGGCCCTAATCTTATGATTTAAGGCCCATTCCTTAACTCAGGGGTATTGGGTTCTCTGGGTCGTTGATTACGTTCTATTCAACTGGGATACTGGACAAGAAGGCTTTCCCTAAACCCTAAACCTTAAACCCTAAACCCTAAACGCTAAACCCTAAACCGCTTTTGCTGCGGCGCAGGAGAAGGTCAAAGAGAAGAAGGAGATCGAGGCGGTCCAGGGGCCTCCTGGGGTTTAGGGGTTTAGGGGTTTAGGGTTTAGGGGTTTAGGGTTTAGGGTTAACTGGGCTTTGGAGTACCACACTTGAATACTTTTTTCGGGGGAGACCTGTTCCTTAGAGGAACCATTATGATATACATTTTTTCTCCCTGGTTGCTTCAAAGCCAGGTCAAGGACCCTCTATTATAGGACTTTGGGTCCTTTCGCCCAAAACCATAAATAGTAACTACTTGGACCCTTAGTGGATTGACTGTAATCAAGAAGCCCAAATAAATGCAGATACTGCTTTTTTGGGTTCCATATTCTATGTTTCTTCAACTCCAAAACCGAAGTTTAATAGTCAGGGCCAGGGCCCCCATATTATGCCCCTGAAACCCTAAACCCTAAACCCTAAACCCTAAACCCTAAACCCTAAACCCTAAACCCTAAACCCTAAACCCTAATTATTATGGGTTTAGGGTTCAGGCTCTCTTCAACTGGAAAATTGCAGTTTAATACTCAAGGCCCCCATATCATGGGTTTAGGGTTTAGGCCACTTCAATTGCGGGGTTAACAGGGTTGATATGGGATATCCCTGTCCTGTAGTTTGCTTATGTGTTTTTTTGGGGGCCCTAGCTGAGCCGGAATGACCCAGCCCTGAGCAGAAGTTTCATTTTTCAGACCCTTACAGCCTTACAGTTTACCCAACACTTGCCCCCATAGCGTCAACATTCCTTCAATTTCCTCTTCAGCAAGGGATAGACCTCGAATGAGACAGGGTTTCTGGTTTTCATTTTGGTGTTTATGCCTCACCTATAAACCCTTAACCCCATGTGTAACCCCAAGACCGTCCCCTAAAGCCCTAAACCCTAGACCCCAAACCCTGAACCCTGAACCCCAAACCCGTCAGAAGGTTCCTGCAGAGGAGGCGAAGCCTGCTGAGGGTGAGGCCTTTGCTGGTCCAAGGTTAGAGTGTAGGGGCTGTTGGTTCGGAAGGCAACATGAGAGAAACGTAAGGGTTGTGGGCTTAGGGGTGTTTAGGGTTTAGGGTTTCACAAGAGAAACGTAAGGCCAACCACAAGACTTTAACATAGATTCTAGGGTGCCTATCATTTATTCCTACAAGAAAGCGAGTAAAATCTAACATCTGTGCTTAGGGTAGCCTGCAACCACAAAACTCATGTGTATATAGCTGCGTGGCTGTATGTAAGGTTACGCGTTCGTATGCATGTATAAATACATGAATTCATAAATAGATGGTTCATCGGCATGTATGCACGTATGTATAGTTCGGGGACCTTGAGAGAACTACCTATATGTACATATATAAAAAATATACAATATGTATGTATGTATGTATGTATGTATGTATGTATGTATGTATTTATGTATGTATGTATGTATGTATGTATAAATACATAAATAAATAAGTAAATAGAATATATATATATATAAACGGAATGCGTCAGCCCCAAAGCCCATGACCAAATCAACGGCCGTTGGGCTTTCTAAGTCATCGAAAGGTAAAGCAGGAGGACGTCCGCCCCAGAGCCCAAATGCCTAAGTAAACCCGTTTAGGGTTTAGGGTTTAGGGTTTAGGGTTTAGGGTATAGGGTTTAGGGCCCCAGAGCCCAAATGCCTAAGTAAACCCTAATCCCCGGAGCCCGAATCCCTAGGAGTCTTCTGTTAAAACCCGAAACGCCAAACCGAAACCCCAAATCCCTAAGAGTCCTTCGAAAAACCCTAAACCCCAACCCTAAACCCCAAATCCCTAAGAGTCCTTTGGACAACCCTAAACCCTTAGCCACAAGTCCCTCCTTCGAAAAGCCCTAAACCCTAAACCCTAAACCCCAAATCCCTTAAGAGCCCTTTGAAAAAACCGTAAACCCTAAACCCTATGAGCCACAAATCCCTAAGCGTCCTTTGATAAACCCCAAGCCCCACAACCCCATTTTTTATGTAAGAGTTCTTTCAAGCACTGTCTGAAGCCTGAGTCTCCGATGGCTCTTCATTCTGCAGTATACCTAACACCGTTTTATGGATCCCCTCATACTTCCACATAGTTCAAGATATCAATACATGAATATATATATATATATAGATAGAGCAGATATATATATATATATATAT